TCATTAAAGTTTCTTGTACTATTTTATATATAATAAAATTAATTTTATTATATACGAAATAGTACAAAAAACCTTAACGATCTCAGGATCTTGTAATTGGATTTTAGTGATTTTAGACTCATTAGAATCGTCTTATCAAGATGAATATTTTGACAGTTAAATCATCCAAATCGGACTAGTTGATCAAAAGTTATTTAATTTTAAAAATATTAAAAAGATTTTTAATAATTAATTAAATTAGCTAATCAGAATCAAGCTAGGGGTGATCACACTATACATAGATAGGGTAGCTATTAAGTAAAAAAATATTATATGATAAATGGCACACCTCTAATTAATTAAAACTAATTAGCTTTATTTTTCATAATATTTTGTGCTAAATTATGAGTTTTCAGGCTTTTTTTCTTTTTTTTTTAGTTGTATTTCATATAGATTTTTGTTTTTTTTATTTAATAGTCATTTTTCTAAAGCTTGTTTTTTGTAGTTTATTTTCTTTTTTGTATGAATATTATTTAAACAGGTATTTTTTTTTATTCTGAATTATTGTAGAGCTATCTGTATACTAATAAACAAATAAAACTAACTTATTTTCTGAGAGATTTTTTGTATTATGATATCTTTTTTGAAACTTCTCAAAAACTAAAAGTAGTTGGCATTTTGCTTAATATCACTTTTCACTTTATAAAAAAATTTAACCAAAAATTCAGTATAGTTAAACTCTTTTCTACTATTAGTAATTGACTCTTTATTGCTATTAGTATTTGATTCTTTATCGCTATTAGCATTTGACTCTTCATCACTATTAATATTTGACTTTTTATTGCTATTAGCATTTGGCTTTTTATTGCTATTAGCATTTAACTTTTCATCACTATTAGTATTTGACTCTTTATTGCTATTAGTATTTGACTCTTCATCACTATTAATACTTTTTGTAAAACTTTAAATGAAAATATAACTAAATTAGCAAAAAATTAGTATTTTATAATAATTTAATATATTATATATAGGGTTTCTTAAAATCAAATCAAATCAAATATTAGGCTTATTTGAATTTGATTTGATTTAAAAATTTGGATTTAAATTTGATTTGAT